CCCCCTCCCATTCCCAGCCAGCACTGGCTGCTTGCTGCAGCTGTGTCTGTTTACCCTGCTGCTCCTCCATATCCCCCTGGTGTGTGTCCCAGGCCTGGCACTGACACGGACCAGCCCGACTGGTTTATTCAACTTACCAACAGTCTGGCTGGCCAGCTCCTTCCCACTGCCTCTGGGTGGGCTGATGCCCAGGAAAAGCTCAAGACCCTACAGCACAGGGTGCTGGCCATGAGGAGTCAAACTCTGCACGTGCCAAAGCCACACACAGCACTGATATGGGAAAGCTTCTCAGCCCCTCAGCTAAATTTTGCAGTGGCAAAGAAGAAGCTATTGCCAGCTTGTTTGCACCCCATCTCTACTACAGGTTTTGCTGCATCCTCCCCCCCTCCCCTGAGCAAGAGCATATAATTCTCTTCATAAACTGCCACTACCTAGATCCTGCCCCCAGGGATTGCAGGCCTTCTCTGTCCCTTAGCACTTTTAGCTGCTGAGCCACCTCTCTGGCTCAGTTTACAAAATTCGCAGTAAATTCGCTGAGCCCTGGAGCACAAGGCATTCTTAGGGCTTGACCCCTTCCTGCCCTTGCTTTAGCCAGGGGGGTCAGGAGGTGGTTGAGTTACATTGGTGGCCAGCAGCAGCTTGAAGTTATGAGCTACCTTTCAACACTATGCAGGCAGGCAGGGACAAGCTGCATTCAGCCACAGCGGAGCAGGGAGGGTTAGGACAGGAGGGAAAATACAACCTCTCTAATACACAGGTCAGGTCATTCTTACTCCCACACCTCTGTGCTGGAAGCAGCTCCCATTCCTTTCCTCCCACACGCTGCTGAAAAGCTGCTGCTGGCCATGCTCCAATGTAAACCCTGACAGAAATCTGGGGAGGGAAGCCTTGTGATCCCGCATTCCGCCCCCCATGTTGCCTCAAGAAGATGCAGTGCCAGGTACCAGGAGAAGTAAATCCATCCCAGGGCCCGACAGGCATGGAGGATGGAGAGCAGGTCAGTCAGTTATACCCCATCCCCGTGTGAGAGAGGTGTGTGGGAGGATGTGGGTGTTACTTCTCCCCATGAAAATCTTAAAGGTAAGAAGGTAAATAAAAAGACTCCAGCTAATGTAGTATTTCTTTTGAACAAGAACGTCAGTACTCTTAATTCTGATTGATTGCCATTGAATTCACTTGAATATGAGTAATTTTACCCAGTGTCCTGTTTTTAGCATAAGGAAATATGATCAACCTACCTTTGCTGCTCCTCAGAGTCCTTGTGTTGTCTCTAGACCTCTTGAACCATAGAATGGCACTGATTTTGCCTGTGAGGGATGGCTTCAATCTCACTGAAAATAGAAGGAAGTGGCTGCCAACATTACGAAGGGCAGCTATTTTAGTGGCTTCACCTCATTTATAATAGGAGATGGTCACCATTTTGAAAAAGGGAAAATTCGTGAGATCACTTTTTATGAGGTGTTTATGAGATGGGGGGAAAAAAACTCAGATTAGCCAATATTGCAAGAGTTGGCAGCACTTCAGTGGAGCCCTGTCTGCCAGGGAGCTGAGCCCTTCTGGTATCAAGCTATTACCTGGCTGCCCCAGGAGCTCACCTCCTGGTATCAAGCAGTCAATGAGAACTGCAAAAAGAGTGCACTGGCTCTCTCCCCCGTGCCCCTTTGTAACTCAAAGCTTTCTTTTGGGATACAAAGAGTCCTCTGCTCTCACTCTTATCCTGTGAGCAACAGAACAGTTCCTCTGCTTCTCATCCCTCCAGCTACTCCACTGGGGCTAGGTCTACACTACAGCTTTTTCCAATTTTTTTCAGAAGAGGCTTTTCTGAAATTTGGCCCAACTACACTGGGTCAAATTTCGGAAATTCCCCCTTTCAGAAGACTCCTTCTTCCTTGTGGAATGAGGAAGACGGCTTCCAAAAGAGCATGTTTGCACTTCCACAAAAAAAAGTGGAAGAGCAAGCACGTTCCCTGGATGCAGTGGAGTAACCTCCGCAGTGTAGACATATCCAGAATCTGGCCTGCACAAGGCCTGGAAACTGTTCCCATTTCCTGGTATGAGGAGAGGAGGCCCCCCCACCCCCTCCCAAGCCGGAAGTGTGTGTGAAGAACCACGTAAAAGCAGAAGTGAGTGCATGGATGGCACAGAATCATCAAGGCAGTTGTAAGGGATGGACTGATGGGTTGACAAGGTAGCAGATGTGGTTTGGAGATGGGGACACAGGATTTATTGGTCAAGGGATGAGCAGATGTAAGGTGATAGCTCCTGCATCAGGAATCAAGATCAGCTTACACAATGAGTCTAGGAGAGTGAAAACACACAATCTCTCTCTCTCCCCTACTCCCTCCCCCACCCACTCCCTGGAGTTCAGCAATCAAAAGGCCCAAAAGAAAAAAAAAAAAAAAAACCACCCAACCTCACAGTAGTCTTTGTTTAAAAAAAAAAAAAATCAAGGGGTTTTGGCCAGTATCATTTTTTTGATCCCTTGAGGTTGGCAATAATGGGATTGTGTTCTGTGTTACTGTGCTGGTTGTTTGTATGTGTGGCACACCCACAGACAACTTCAGAGGGGCCTTGTATTGGAAGTAACTCTGCTAAGTGGAGCAAGCAACACCTGCAGCAAGAGGGGAGCTGCCTCTGTACATTCTTCTAGTAATAAATGTGTTATGTTATTCTTGAGTTTGTGACAGTACCATCATTCTTAGGACTCCGCCAGCTTGTCCTAACCCACCAGAAAAAGGTCATGAAGTCATGTGACAGTAACCGCCTTACTTTCCACTTTTTTATATCTCTATAAAAGGATTCTGGAACATAAAAACCATCGCAAAATCCATAAAAAAGTTGATTATGGTGCCAATCACAACAATTTGGTAATTTGCATTTTGTGAAAAGTGCTGAATGACAAATGTTTAGTATCGGATGTAACTTGACTAGTTAAAAACCTCAACCTGTGCAAAGATTATCTTCAAAAGGTTATTCACCAGCACTACTTTACAATCAGACTAAATAAAAAATGTCTATCCCCTCCCCCAATGCAGAATAATTGATAACAGATAACTGTTCAAACCTACCTCTTGTCACTGTAAACTAGGAATAGCACAAATGTGTTTTAAAACACAGATGATGTATTTTGTGTATTTACCACTGTGATCTGAGTCCTAAATGTAACTGTTGGAGTGTAATCAAACAATATTACTTATTTGTCCCTATTCTTTATTTCTCTGTAAGTCAAACTTTACAATGTTCTCTATTTAATAGAACAGTAAGTTTTAAATAGTACACTCACGTGGCAGCTCTAATGTGTACTACATTTTTCTATGATGTTATAAAGTAACAGAAGTGACAAATGATGCTTATTGACTCACAAGTCGGGAAACGTAAAGCACAGTAATCGACCAAGCATTGTAAATCCTACAAAATTTTTGTACCAAAAACTTTGTAATGTAATTAAATTGATTAAAAATGTCTATAATTAACACTATAATTAAGACTTTGTTTAACATGTGATGCTCAAAGACAGAATAATGATGTAAACATGGCATGTTGAATTTTTAAAGAAAAAAAGTTTATGCCAAATTTTAAAGGCCAAATGCAAGTGTGAAGGACAAAATGAACAATATCTAAAATGAATGTTTTTGGGAGGTGAATTTAATGAGCACATCGGCCTATTCATCATACTTGTGTACAGTAATGAAAGTGCAAAAAGTAAATAAAAAAGCATTACTAGTGTAAGATTTCAGATTTCTTTTGGTTACACAATGGGTCAACTGTCCCCTTAAAAAGTTGTGAGGGCAGGTTAATACATAAAATGTTGCATTGGGTGCAGCAAAAACACTTCACAGATGGGGAGGCTTCTCAATCTCATTAGCATAGTTAATCTGCCTCCCCCAAGAGGTGGTAGATATGTCGAACAGTTCTTCCATCAACATAGAGCTCAAGGGGTGTGGATTGTCACACCTGTAGGCAACTCAGTTTTATGAATATAGGTCTGTAGTGTAGACCTGGCCTTGGTAATGCTGACAGTATTATATACACACATTTAAGTTAATAATTACATAGCTTGTTTATATGATGGCTCACCTTTGTAAGAAAAGAGAAAGTGTGTAAGTTATTCAATACCCTATTTAGGGGAAATACACTTGAATGATGTGCAGTAAAAAAAAAATTAACAAATTATTAAGACAAGTCAAAATAATATACTTTATTAAGTATCAACTTTTATACTCAAAAGTTTTATTTTAAGTGTAAAGCAAATTAAAATGTATATTAAAAGTAGCAAACATTATTCAATTTATATTTATAAAAAGTTATCTGAAGTCAGTTGGTTTTGCAACAAATTGTATTTAGCCAGCTAAAATTATATATATAGAGAGAGTATAACAAATGAGACAGAACAGTATATAAATAAGATGTCTTGAAATATTTACAGTCCTATTGAAACTAGCCGAAGTAGTGCTATAAAGAAGGAAATAATGAGTGCTAGAAAATAAGATTACAGATTTTGCATACATATGCATTACACTAAGAGTTTTTAACTTGTGTATTTAATATACTAGTTAACAACTATGGATATATATTTGAATAGAATCACTTTAAAATATGATAATTCTGCATTTCATATCACAGTAAAAGCTATTAGAATAAAAATACAAAAGTGCCAACTCTGTCAAAGCCAGTTAGCTTCCTTGCCTGTCAAAATTTAGTCTCTGGCTTCTTGCTTTTAGGAACAAGGAAGATGCTGCCATCTTTTGTTTGCTGCAGTGAGTATTCACTGGGAGAGTAAGGCTTTCCATTTTCATCATGTAGCATGCTGAAGACCTCAAGGTATAGGTTAGTAAGCTGCTTTTTCATCAGACGGATGCTTTTGTCATTCTCTCCTTTTTCTTTAAGCAATTTCTCTTTTTCATCCTGTAACTGACCCAAGTCTTGCTCCAGTTCTACTATGTTCTCCAGTTTCCTTTTACGGCAGTTTTGAGCAGCTACTTTATTCTTGCCTCTCCTTCGTATATCTCGAATAAGTGCAAGCTGGGCCTCACTGAACTGCTCCTTAGACATCATTTCATTGAAGTCATCCACGGGAAGGTTGATTATTTTTTCTACAGGGAAAGGGATATGCAGAGCTTTTGCTCTTTGCTCATCTCTTGTGAAATGAGCATCAAGGCAGCTTGAAGGTTTATCTCTTGTAAATGGAGCTTTGGGGTGGCCTGGGCTGGCAGGTAGTTCTCTTTTTGGTGTGTTTACACATTGCAGATCAGATTTTTGAGTGGTTGGCCCCTGGGAAGGAGAGACTGGATTATGGAACTTCAGTGAATATATCTGAGCACTGCTCTGTTGCAGACTTCCAGGAGTACTCTCCATTTCTTCCATTTCAGAGTCACTATTGCCAAAAGCTGTATCTCCAAAAAGAGATGATTCAGCAGAGTGCTCAGGTGATGTGGTACTGGAATGTGTGCTCAATGAAATACCCGAGTCAGAATCATTACCTTCTGGTGCATTTTCTTGATGGTCACCATTAAAAGCTTTACACAGTGAGAAATCCGAAATATCAATGGGTTCGTATGGAATTTCAGCAAATGACTGGTTGACAATGGTTGGTGCTGCTACATCACCATTCCCCTTTGTTTCAAGAAAGGTGGAGTAGAAATCTTCACAAAAACTGGAGCTCAAACATGAAGTGTTATCCAAAGAGTCCACTCTCAGCTGGCTGGCGTCTTCTGGTGGTAGGATGCTAGAAAAGGAATCTTCAAAAGTGTTGAGGAAATCTGAATCGCAATTAACAGAAATGGACGAGTTGTAGAAATTATTGAGACTCTCTGATGACTTAGTTTCTGGGCTTGCAATAGTGGTTACTTCAGCCAGGTTGTTGTTTTCAATGTTAAGACACTATATGAGGAAATATTACAAAGAAAAATTTAACAATAATAAATTAACAACATATTTTGATATAATCTAGCTGCTAAATTCCACAAATTTAAAATTGCCCTTCTGAGATCAATACACTCATAAAATGGCCCTTAAAGTATTGTTATAGACGGCATAGCATAGTCCACTGCTTTTCTTATTTTATTACTAAGGGGCAGTCTCTGGGAACTGCAAGTTCTAGCAGAGGATGACTCTTCTTCTCAGCAGGTCACCAGGAAGATAACAGCATTCTGACACCTGTAGAGTCCCAAAATCATATCAATACACCAAAGAAAAGATTGGTAAAATATGCTCCCATTATATGGAAGCTAGATGCATCTCTCTTGCTTTAGTAAATTGCCAATATGGATCCTGATGCTGACAAATGTGAATCCACCTCAAGCAGCACCATATTATAAATAAAGTATTAATATAGCCAACTCAAAGCCATTGAATATAAACAACATCATTCAGTAAACCAAACAACTGTCCCTTAAATTTTGCACTGTTGAATGGATTTTAAAAGATCTTTGATCTTTTTAGGTGGTACTCAATGAAGTAACTGTTTGATGCAGAGAAATGTAATTTACTATGTAATAAAAAACAGCACTAACATGGGATTTTACAAACATTAATTCAATGAAGATACATGAATGTTAATCAGCTTAACTAAAAGTAAGTGTTGAAGATTATTATTTGATTGTCCTGACTGGCTACAGAAACAACATTCTTTCTATATCAAAATACACCTTCTATCCTTTTAGAATTAGGCAATTGCCAAATGATTCTGGTCCTCTTAAGTAAGGACACATTGATTATTTAATCACAAATAAAATCATACCTAAAACAGGATTTACTAGATGAGAGATCTTTTGGTTCTTTTTTTCTCCCTAAACTAATCCTTTTAAAAGGGATACCCTCAACTTAAATTTCTGTCTTTTCTGTGACTATTTGTTCAAATTCTACTCAGAATTATAATAGCAGCAATATGTAAGGGTTTTTTTTAAAGATTACTTTCTATATCGTCCGTTTCATTGTTGCCTCTGTATAGTCAGTAACTCAATTCCCCATTTTGTTTGTGTGGGTCTTTCACACAGTAACAGGGAAGATTTAAAACAAAAACTGGAGAATTAATTGTGTAATACACAAAAATTAGCAAAAGGAAATCAGGGGACAGAGTAGTTATAGCACTTAATATTGCTTTCTAACTAATTTTTGTTAAGCTGACTTGCTTTCATGTAGACAGTATCATTTTAAGCACTGCTCTGATGGGTTAACAATCCAAAACACAGTAGCTTTTTGTGAAAAACATTAAAATAAATAATTTAAAATAAGCCAGTCTAATTATCCTGTCCAATTTGGGTGAACTTCAAGTAAAAGCACAGCAGAGTTGATTAAATAAATAAGCTAAATCTTCTCTGAAATGCTCAGATTAGTAAAACAGCAGTGATTTTAGCCTGACATTTTTCTTTTAAAATATTTTCTGCATCTACAACACCTACTGTAATACAAATGTTTTCCAATACTGTTGTTTTTAAAGCTTTTTTTTCTCCCCTCAATGAGAGTTAAATGCAAAATCTGAATAAATGTAACTTCACAGTTTTTATAATAATTGCAGAGACAATCAAGAAATGCCAGGTTATAACTAGGGATGTTACATAGTGGTTAATTATCTAATTGAGTAGTCGATGGAATATCTATTGACTACTCAATTAGTTGATAAAAGGGTGTTAGCTAACCATGCTGCGGCTCTCTATGCCCAGCTTCTATTACATTGAAAATGCAGAACTACAGTGGAGTTAGCTCCCAGGGGTTAGCATTGGCTCTGGGACTGCTGCGGCTCTGCCTCCACCACTTTAAGCTGGCTTCCTCCAGCACAGGCTCCTGCTTCCCCCTGCCTTACTGCCTCTAATACAGAGGCAGCGAGGGTGGGGGGAACAAATAGTTGAGTAGTGACTTAACTACCCGATAAGCTAAGCTTGTCGGGTAGTCAACTACTTGAGTAGTCGCTTACATCCCTAGTTGTAATACACTCTGCATATACTGTATACTGTTTTGTATTTTAAATAAACTGTAATATATTAATTTACGTAATATAAAGTTAAACATTATACAAGTAAAAATACTGTTTGAATAGTATTGGGGACAGATTAAGGATTCCTGCAGGAACCATAATTTAGAGGTTCCTCACATTTCTTCAGGTATAATTTCAAACATGACAGTGCAGTAACAGGTTTCTGTATTTAACATCAGTTCAAGAATCAATATTGTATTGATCCAGTTCAAGAATCAATACAAATAAAAACATTCAGACCAGAAAAACACCACATATTTTCATACAGCATTAGGCAAATAACCCTCTACTCTTGAAGTCCCCCTTCTTATCCTGCTTTTGATTAACTATTTTAGATGCTCATTGTATTTCTTGTTAAAGCATACACTGATTTACAAAATCCCTGCAGCTACTAGCCTCATGGGCTTGTAACTATTGCTTAAGAATGACTGAAATTTTATTATTCTAAATTCTTTGGAGTTCCCCAAGAATACTCTGCCATTCTTTCAGCTACTGCTTACAATAACCCTTACCTGTAGTTCTGGAATGGACAGTAATTCTTCCCAAACTTGCTCTATATTTTGCATATTATCTACATCAGCAATTGGAGATGGAAGAACTGATGATTCAGGAGGCTGAGTCTGATTAGAAGTAATGAAGATAGGGTCGCTATCTATATGAGCAGGTACCGGCAATGGAAATGCAGCCAAGGAAACCTGGAATTTTATAAATATACATAACTTGGTAAGACATCAAGCCATTCTTGGTGCTCTCTGTATTATTCTCATAATAGAGATCCACAGGAACCCTTTGAAACCATATTAGATACATATAAATAATTGTATGTTGCCTAATATATAGTACAATAATCTGAAACTCTCTCATAAAAAGACTAATCCTAATAATAAAAAAAATTGAAAACAGCAAATAAGTTGTCTAAGAGCAGACATGATATCATCCTCCTTTTCTTCCCTCCTTCAAGCTCCCCCCTCAAAAAAAACCCCAACATACTAAGAATTAGGTTGGTATTTTACCTCATTATCATCTACAAATGAGAATGTTTCTGCCAAAAGCTGCATACAGTCATCAAAGGACAAGGCATCTGCTGCAGGTTTTGAAATATGTGTAGTCTACATAGGAAAGATTGAAAACATGTATTAGTTTATTTTTGGGTGAATGAAGATTCCTCTCCTACAAATACAAACTAAGAGCAGCTTTATCACCTTATTCAGAAGAAGCAGAAATGAAGACACATAGGCTACGTCTACACTAACATGATTTTCCAAAAATGCTTTTAACGGAAAAGTTTTCCGTTAAAAGCATTTCCGGAAAAGCGCGTCTAGATTGGCAGGACGCTTTTCCAGAAAAGCACTTTTTCCAGAAAAGCGTCCGTGGCCAATCTAGACGCGCTTTTCTGCAAAAAAGCCCCAATCGTCATTTTCACGATCGGGGCTTTTTTGCGGAAAACACTATTGTGCTGTCTACACTGGCCCTTTTCCGGAACAGTTTTCCGGAAAAAGACTTTTGCCTAAACGGGAGCAGCATAGTTTTTCCGGAAAAGCACTGATGATTAGATCATCAGTGCTTTTCCGGAAAATCAAGCAGCCAGTGTAGACAGCAAGTTTTTCCAGAAAAGCGGCTGATTTTCCGGAATAACTTGCCAGTGTAGACACAGCCATATACATGATATATATCAGCATAAGATAAAAGTTACTGGTTTTTACCTGTGAAAAATTGGGTGGTGTGCCTGTGTTTTCTGACTCAATCTGCTGGGCAGGCTGAATGGGAACAAATTCACCTGTTTCTTCATCCAGCTGTAGTTGAGCCAGAAAAGCTTTTTCTTGCTCTTTTTGGAGCTGTTCTTGTCTCTCCTTTTCAAGTTTCTTTTGCTTTTCAAGTTCATACTCCTTCTGTCTTTGACTAAAATCAAAAACTTCACGTCTTGCTCCAAGATCTATATCTTGCCTCCAAAGAATGTCAATCAAGTTCATGTCCTGTGAATAGGAAAGAAAGTAATTTTTAAAAGAAAGCCTCCTCTACAGAAAAATTGGGTTTAAAATAATAAAGCGTAATCATCTTGTACTAAATAGATAAACTCATGTAACTGTCTGAGGTTTGTTCTTTCAGTCCTACCAAACTACCTAAGCAAAATATACATTTACTTCTAATTCTAACCCTGGATTTTATTCTTTCTAAAACAGCTTTCAGTTTTATATTGGACATGTGAATAAGCTGGTTTGTATCAAGCATATGCACGTGCGCACATATGCACACACACAAAATGTTTTCCCATAAAGAGCATCAACAATCAACACATTACAATTGGTTATTGTAAGGAATACAATTTGCAAGCTGTGGTCATTTGTCAGCTAGACAAAAGGGCATACAAAACTTTCCTTCTTAATTAGCTATTAGAAAGTATGATGACAGAGGAGAATTAAGACACATGTGACTTAATATCAATTGGGTGAATTCTTTCTGTAATTATTACATACATTTTTCATATACTGAATAATGAAAATTAACCACTATCTATATATCTACAGTATATATGAGTTTGTTTGGTGGTCTGTGCAACTTTCTGTTCAAGAACTCCTCCTAAATGGTAAGAGCTAAGACCACTAAATTTGGTATGCAGCTTCCTCTTCTCATAACTTAAACCAAGAGAAGGGTTTGGTTGTGCCAGGAAAAACAGGATGTGCCTGAAATGGGATTGCTTTTAATAAACCATACAGAAAAGAGACTGAATCACAAAGCAGGTAAAAAGGGGGCACACACAATCCACCCCCCATGCAGGACTGCCCTAGCCCCAAACTCCTACCTCCCAGGCACCGTTTAGAGAAGGCAGGGGAACTGAAGCTCCACCTCCTCCTCCCCATTTGTTTGTGGATGTTGCTCTCTATTCCCCTTTCAGGAAGCCAGGGGAAAGTGTAGTTTGCTGCATTCTTCACTCTGGCTGGGGAGTGCAGGGGGCAGACGAACCAGGATCTGCCCCAGCCAGGGGATATGCACCCCTTCTTGCTGGAGCTGCAGCAGCTAGGGATGTTAAAATGAGATTAATCAACTAATTGAATAGTTGATGGAAATTCTTCAATTAGTCGATAAGGACGCTTCCTCTTTGAAATGTAGCAAGAGCCCTGCCCGGCTGTTGCTACATTTGGAAGGTGGAAGTTCCGTGCTGCGTTCTGCCTTTGAAATGTACAAGAGCCCCACCAAGGGCTCTTGTGCATTTCAGAGACTGTAAGGCAGAGTGGAGCCCAGGGCCAGCGGGGAACTCTGACTCAGTTTCAGTTTAAATTTCAACAACAAAACTGATCAGGAAAGAGAAATTGGGAGGTATTAGCTTGTTCTCTTTAAAGGAGAAACCAATGGCTTGAATATGAAAAGGCAGCTCCTAAATCAGTGTTTTTCAACCTTTTTTATTTGTGGACCCGTAACATTTTCAAACAGATGTGCAAATCCCTTTGGAAATTCAACCTGTGATCTATGAACTTCTACCATAAGGGGCTTAGGCTACATCTGCGCTGCAGTGCTGTTAGCTATTCCATGTCTTGTGCCCGTGGAACCTCATTCCACGAGGAGTAAGGGACATTTCGGAATAGTGATTTATTTCAAAATAAGTGCTGTGTAGACAGCACCAAATTTCAAAATAAGCTATTTTGAAATTAACTCGAAATAAGCTACGCAGTTTGCATAGCTCATTTCAAGCTCTGGGTGTAGTGTAGATACACCCTTAGACTGAAAACTTAGAGAACAGAATTCAGCTATACATGTTGCATGCTTTTGGCACAACATTTGATACAGTATGAAAAAGGGCACTAAACTATGAACTTTTCTGGTAACAATGCTCCTAGATTTTGATCTGTAGGTATGGGTATTCACATAGTTTTGCTTGATCAGAAAAATGGAAAGTCTTTTCTGGGATCTGAGTCTTTATTTTCATAGTCGCCTTTCATAGACCCTTACAGACCCTTACACACACATCCCCAGGGGGCTTGGACCACAGGTTGAAAATCACTGTCTTAAAACATCAGCTGTGCCACCTCAGGCTGTGGGCTTCTAATCTCAAAATAAGCAATGCTGGTCTAGATCAGTACTTGGCATCTCAATAAGCAATATTTTTCTTTTGAATCATTTAGAAGGAATGCACTAGCATAACAGCAGATGTCCAGTGCTCCTATTTTTTGGACAAGTGCTTCAGGTGCTTCAATAGTCCAAGTTAATTCTATGTAGTCTGTAACAGAAAAGGGTGTTGGAGTTCATTGACATGAAAGCTGCTATAAACTAAGATAATTATTTTTACCATGACTTAAAATGTAAACAAACTCTATTCACTGGGGAGGGTCATGTTTTACTTAAGATATTATGAGAGATGTCAATCTCCCACTAATAAGATATTTACATAAATATAATGTTTTAAATATGCTATTTGTATTTTAACATTATAAACCAGTCGCTTTAGCACTTTTGTCATTATCAGAAAAATGTACAAAATTTTGGACATTATTCCAAAGCATCAAGTCAAAATATAAGAAACCCCTAACATAGTCTACTCTAAAATAATTTAAAGCTATTTTTTTAAATAGCTGTTTTAATATTTGTATCTGATTCTTAATCAGTTATTTTCTAACATACATATATTTTCTACAAACTCGTATGTGTGATGTTAAGCCAGGAAGTCCAAGAAGTACTGATGTGAACAGCAAGTGTACACTAATGTCCAAACCAACTTAAATACAATAAGAATTCCATAGCATATTTATAAATGGTACATGTATACATACGTCACTACTGCTTTTCACAGCCTTGCTTACCACATCCTTAATATAGAAGGCATTTACTGTAAGGGCTCTAATGATTCATCATGTGACTTACTTCACAAATGGCCGTTTGTTCTCTCCTCGGTTGTGTAAGCTCTTGCATCATGTCAGAGGATATCATTGTTATGGCAAAAGCTAAAAACTAGGCCGTTTCAGTACTTTGTATTAGGAAAATAATCTGTTAGCTGAACTAGTTTTGCATCAAGGATATTTTTCCCTAGTTTAGGCTAAATAGTTCACTCCTGCTTCATTGAAGTCAATGGCCAAACTCCCACTGATTTTAAGGGTACACCTCAAAAATATGCTTTAAGGGAAAATACTATACATTGGGGCTACGTCTACACTGCAGACTTTTTGCGGAAGAACAGCTGTGTGTTCTTGCTCAAGTAAATTTACAGTAAAGCGTCGGAATGGAGGGCTTCTTGCACAAGAGTTATTCCTCTTCCCATGAGGAATAAGCTGTCTTGTGCAAGAGCTCTTGCGGAAGAAGGCAGTGTGGATGGGCAAATGGCCATCAGAGCTTTCTTGCACAAAAAAGCATCCACACTGCCATGGACACTCTTGTGCAAAAGCACATCTCTTGCGCAAAAGCACATGGCAGTGTAGACGCACTCTTGCTCAAGACCTTTTCCACAAGAACTCTTGTGTAAAACAGTTCTTGCGCAAGAAGCCTGCAGTGTAGATGTAGCCTAGGTTATTCACTGCCTATGCCACATCCCTTAGTATCACAGTTCAAGTATTTCATGATTCAAACAGAGCAGTGTGAAAATCAAGCTAAATTGGGGGCTCTTCTTTTTCCTATCGGTAAATGAAGGAAGAATCGCCTCTCCAATGAGTCATGGACCTGCTTTTTTTTCCATAGTCCATGCAGAAAATGGTGCCTTCCACTCTGTGGGTACGTCTAAACTACATGGCTCTGTCAACGGAGCTATGTAGATTTGTTGTTTTGGCAAAGTCAAATGAAGCCGCGATTTAAATGATCGCGGCTTCATTTAAATTTACATGGCTGCCGCGCTGAGTCGACAAACAGCTAATCGGCTGGACCTGCTTTTTTTTCCATAGTCCATGCAGAAAATGGTGCCTTCCACTCTGTGGGTACGTCTAAACTACATGGCTCTGTCAACGGAGCTATGTAGATTTGTTGTTTTGGCAAAGTCAAATGAAGCCGCGATTTAAATGATCGCGGCTTCATTTAAATTTACATGGCTGCCGCGCTGAGTCGACAAACAGCTAATCGGCTGTTTGTCGCCCGCGCTAGTCTAGACGCTCCTCTGCTGACATCAAAGCCCTTTGTCGGCAGCCCTAGTAAACCTCATCCCACGAGGAATAATGGGGCTGCCGACAAAGGGGTTTGATGTCGGCAGGGGAGCGTCCAGACTAGCGCGCTGAGCGGACAAACAGCCGACAGAGGCATGTAGTCTAGACACAGCCTGTGTTTGCTTTTTTTGTCCATTTAGTGATATGCTATTCCAGAGTCTTCTCCAAACCACACTACTAGCTTATACAGCTTTGGACTTATAAAGGCAGTTTTAATAAGATAAGCATAAATGTTAAACAATTCACATTAAACCACCATCTGCCCTCCGCCCTCCCAGTGAAAATTTCATGTTTTAGATTTACATATCAGCATTTGCCATCTGGGTTGTCTGTTATACATTTTATGTGAAACTCTGGATTGCAAAGTTTGACTATTAAATCCTATTGCACTTAAGCAAACATATTTGCAGTAGGTTAAACAAAGAAGATAGATTCTAAATACATACCCATGTTGTTGCATTTGTTATTTTCATGGACTGCAAGGTTTGTGTGGTTAAAACAGTAATTTTTAAAACTGCTCATTGTGTTGGGTTTGAATTTTTTAATTTGATTTTTGGAGCACAAGATAGTTTTACAGATAGAGATGATAAAATGGAAATATCTGAAATGACACAAGTGTCACCCTGGAAAACAACCTTTCTCAAATGGAATTTTCACTACCCATTATTATCTAATCCCTTCTGACAGGGCACATTTCTGCTTCTTTTTTTTATTTTTAACAGAATCACATCCTTTGTCACAAAGAATTCTACACAAATTGGGACAGCATTAGCAACAGAGATTCCAAATAGAATGTTAATAGAAATGATATAGCAAAGAATTGTGGTGTGTAACATGATGAAAATGTCAAGATAATTTCACA